TCAGTAAAAGCAACCGTGTTCACGCGTCCGTGATATGCGGCCAGGGAGATTGGAGAGTGGCCTCCAACACAGACATTCAGACTGATGCCTGGCACCGCAAGCAGCCGTCGTAGGAGCACAGTATCCAACCTCGCCGCGGCATGGTGGAGAGATGTAGACGGCATCTCGAATTTCCCGCGGCCTCCAACAAAATTGACGTTGATGTCTTTTTCGGCCAACAGCCTTTCGGCTATCCCGTCGCATGACGAGTAAGTAGACAGCCAAAGTGGCGTATTGCCATGTTTGTCTTTGCAGTTTACGTTGGCACGGGGATGACTTAGGAGCAAATTGACCATTTCCAGGCGCTTGTTTCGAATGGCGAGGTGGAGCGGCGTATAACCATTCCGGTTCTGGATGTCCAAACTCGGGCCCTTTTGTCCGAGAAGCCGTTTGACAATATCTACTGACCCATAGGCCACTGCTTGGTGAAGAGGTAGCTCAGCCTCTTGTGATGATTTGGTACCAAGAAACACCTTGGCCATCGGATCGTTTGAAAAAATCATTTCCATCACGGGTCTATTGAAGCGACATGCCCAGTCCCATGGCGAGTGGCCCGAATCATCCTGTAGATCAGGGTCGCTGCCTCTAGAAAGTAGCAGATGCACGAGCCCTATTCGGCCTGCGAAGACTGCTAGGTGGAGCGCCGTTCGGCCGTGTTTGTGCTTGATGTCCACCTGGACGTTGGGTTGATTTAAGACACTTTTGACGGCGGAAAAGGTTCCGTAGTGGATAGCATACCACAGGGCGCTCTCCCGCGCTTGATTTTGAATGTTGATGTGTAGGTCTCCACGACTGAGCAAGAAGTCCCGCACAGCAGGGGAAGAGTATTTGAGCGCCCTCATTAAAGGAGTTTTGCCTCGGTAAAATGCATTGATGTTGGCGTTGTGCTGGAGCAAAGCCTCTGCAAGACCAATGTTGTCGTATTTGACGGCCAAGTGCAACAGATTGCTGTTCTGAAATTTGATGTTGTATTTCCAGATGCTGGGCTGCAGTTTAAAATCAAAGTCTTTGCATGATTTTGCGAGGGCAAATAATGCACTACCGTCCAAATACGACACAATCCACAGCAAAAGCTCGTTGGGCAGGTCTCTGATGTTTGGCTGTAATGTATTAGCTCATCGGTAAACTCCGTAAGAACGAATTGAACAGACCATGATTGGAGAGCGGATTGAGCAAACGAAATGTAGATGGGGGTGAGGTGAGAGTTGTGAAAGTAGGATATGGGAGGCCTTTATATACTCACCTCAGCCAAATTCCATGGTCAGCTAGGAGTGTAGTCTGTCACTCCGCTGAGAGGTGCGTAGCAATCACACGGCAGCATCAAAGCCTTGACAACAATGTTCAGGCGGAGTTGGAGAATCTGTGGGATCTAGCTCCTGGGAACGCCAAAACTGTTCCTGGTAGTGTGTCGATGGCCTGGGAACCGAATCTATCTCTACGTACCCACATCTTGCATCTAGCGCCATAAGAATAAATCACAACCTATCACGCACTTCCGAATTCCATAGGCAACCCAGAATTTCACCCAGCATATGTCGAGTTTGCTGCTCACCGCAGTAGCCAGTCTGTTCGCCACTGCCTGGTCACCGCGAAGGACAGTCACAAGTACAGCTGATTGCAGCAGTGATCTGGAATGATATCCCTTCTCGCAGGCCACTGATCGGCAGCATACGGCGCATACTGCGTGTGAATGCATTCTTCCACGTACCGACTGTTTCAAGGAAGTGTTCCATGCCAGCCACGCAGCCATGTAGGTAAGGAGCCCACGCGATGGCATATAAAGCTGGCGGGGGAACGCCGCAGTGATTCCCCAACACCACCACAATCCGAAGCACTTTCTGCCTTTGACGACAACCTAAATAACTACCATGCTGCCTTGGAATCCGTTTCTTGTTTGTGAGATAGAGGTCAGCCCCAATGGCGGTCCTGGCTCTTGTTGCGGGACGACGAAAAAAGGCGAGCCGTGCAAAAACTCGATCAAAGTTGAAGACACCAAAATCGGCCATCAAAAGTTGACCACTCTCGCCAGAGAGCCGTTTGACTTGTCAACGTTGCAATCCAACCTCTGTGATGTCGCCAGAGACTTCCTCTGCGCGAGATGGCACCGGCAACGGCAGGCCGACCAAGTTGGCCAGCAGTGGTATGAAGCCGCCGTCCGCAACCAGGCGCGAGTACCACATGGCTCCAGAATGGCCTCTCCATCAGTTGTTGTACATCCAGGCCAGCGTCAGACATCGTCAGCCTCCAGGCGACGCCCTGCCTTAGACAACACCCGGTCATCGCCACCACCGGTGCGCCTGTCAACCAATCCCGAGCCAGTACAGCCATTCAATCCATTTGTGACTTCCACAATGCTGCGGACGAACAGTGTTCCATGGCGGGTTTCGCCGGCCCGACCAGCCATCCTCTCATCGGCAACTAATATCCGGGCTGGTTTCCAAGACTTGACGCTCCAGAGTCTCACCTCGAGTGAAGAGGTCGACAGCGTCCACGTCGACAGCATCTACTGTGTGTTCTGCCAGACCGAGGATGAAGACCATGCGGACGAGAGCGTGATCTTGCACTGCGGTCAGTGCACATCGCTCTGTCATCTGTCGTGCGCCGAAGAATGGTTGGAAAAGCGAGATACAGGGTTTGGCACGTCATGCTGTGTGTGGTAAGTGTGGATGACTTTATTTCTGAGACGACCAAGATGCTGATGAACGCAGCCGAAACGAAGGAGCCGTAGATGCCTTGATTCGCCCTTTACCAATCACCTCATCGGATGCCGAAACACATTCCGTCCTCGCAGCAAGTGAATCATCTCCCGATGGTGGGCCCCCTCGCTCAGCCAGACTAGCAGGAATTTATCTACCGCGACAACCTTCCACCGCTGCACCGCTTCGCCGATCGGCACGACTCAATTCCACTCAGCGTAGGTGATCACAGGTTACAGCCGTTATAGCCGTGATATACAATTTTGAAGCAAATTAGCAAGAAATGAAATACCGATGGTCAAACTCCGAAGTACAACGCGACCGTTTCATCTCGTGAGTGCTGGACACCAATACACCATAGCCGGTAGCTATTGACTGCTTCGGTGATTCCGAAAATGTCTGAGCTCGAAACTGTAGTGGTAGATAAAAGTTCTGTTTTCATGATACCTAACGGCGATGACCAAAGAAACAGAGGATTCATCTCAGTGGAGCCGTGTCGCGTGAAAGGCGGGGATTATTGGCAGAAAAGCCACAGGCAAGAGATTGACAAACTCTCGTGCTTGTTAACTTACTCTGAGAACCAATATGTTGGCCCTGGGAACCTCAAAAGCATTTATAGGAGCTGTTTATCCCCTAGGAAATACTCTTGAGATCCTGGGGCTGTTCCTATTTCTAGCAAAATGAGATCTACCCCTTGGATCTTCACTCTACGTTCCTGACTGCAAACGAAACTAGCTCTGGGAATACATTGACCAGATCTGGGAGCTGTGGAGCCCCTGGGAGCTTACTTTAGGGCCCTAGAGTCACTCTCTTGCCTTCCGAGATCGCCGAAAGCCCTCACAAAACAGCTTCACCGGACCTGCGCAAAATTCTGCGTCATTCGGTCACTCCTAGAAGGCCAAATTATAGCTTAGGAATCAAACAAGTCGTCAACAGGAACGCGGCTTTGATTCCCCGACGTGGGGATACCAGGCCCCAGAAGCTACATCGGGTTTCCTGGGGGCTACGTGGCTCCTAGAGGCTGTTTCTTTGCTCCCAAAAACGCTTCAGGGGGCCCCGTGAGTAAGAGAACCCCTAGGGTTAAGAGATGAATTCCTAGCACTGATGCAACCGTCAACAGGAGCGTGACCGATTCTTGATAATGACGATGAAGATGTCCATGTTTGTATCTGGATACGGCTATGGATATCTGTTCGCTGTTTATACGGACAGAGACGGAAAGTGCGCATAAGCAAGGAAAATCTCCCTTTTCTTAGACTTCAGCCGTGAAAGACATCAAGCCTAGTGGATTTAGTTTCCACCTGATTTCTGGAGGCAGTAATGAGACGGCGTCTGAGATAAAAGCCCTGCTATCTGTAGAGGATTACCGAGCACAGCGAAGCAGAAATACTTACTCTAGTTAAGTTCAAGGTAAAGAGAATCATGCTCTTACTCATTCACATTAGAACAAGAGCGAGTTATAACAGTATCTGCGACCTTAATAGCTTCAAACCTTCCGAGGACCACAAAGCAGCCAAGGAGGACCTCGCAGGCTCAGCTGGACTAGACGCAATCTCGGCGTTCTGAAGCTCCCTGTTTATGCACTATATCGTATATTGAATGCTTTCAACATCACTTTTCACTCCTAAATCTGACATGGATTATGTACATGGCTTGGTCGAGCGGCGAATTGAGGAAATGATAATTTACCCAGCAAAAAAATGCGGCCCTGGCTCTTAAGCGCATTATAATTGGAATTGCGAGGTATTCTTTGCTCTGCACCTTGACTAGCTTTTAGAACTTCACAGGTCCTAGGTGTCATCAACCAAGGGGGACAAACAACGGTGGCTAAACGAATGCATGGCTTCAACAGGCCTCAATTAGGACAGGCACCCGTGCCTTCATTTTCAAAGTTCCCTATTTCCTGCTCTACAGGCGTGAGTGTCGGGTACGGATTTCCACTGAAGCACATTTCTCTTTGTTGCCAGAATAGCAACACCACTAAGTTTTAGACTGGGTCAGAACATGGAATCTGTATTTGAGGTGTCTCGATCTGCTGAAGGACACATACTGTAACCCATCATTAGCAAGAAAGACAATGGTCTTTGACTGAAATTCGCCACGCGTGATTGTATCTCAGTCGCCTACACCAAGGCAAGCATCGTGGCAAACAAGGGCGCCATTCGCAGAATGGCCAACAGACATTGTCGGGCGAACTAATAGCTGTCATTTCCGGCAAAATTCAGCGAATATGAAGAACAATGAAAATATTCGAAACAGAAAACTTCACACCACGAAGATGGAAATTGTGCCATCCTTCCCTGGGATTGGAAGACCCCTTGCTACAAGAGTTCGTGTTCGTTTAGCCCTCTTCTTTGAGGACATGCTCTTCCAGTTCTGATATAGAGCTACATCTTCAAGCGAAACTTCGGTCGGACGGAATTTAGCCGGGGAGTCCTCAGCAGCAGCAGGCTCGTCGATAGCAGCATCAGGCCAATCGGTAGCATCAGGCCAATTGGCAGGAACAGGCTCAGCGGCAGCAACAGCCTCCACAGAAGCGGGATTTCCATTAGTCGACTCTTCTCTGTACTGTCGCCCATTAGTTATCTTGTCCAAGGAGTCGTTTATTGATGCATTTCTCTCTCCGTTCCCATGACTGTGCATCTGTTCGCAAGGACTCTTCCCGTCCTGCGAGATGATCTCTTGGGAACGAAGGAGTATCTCGAGCATCATTTTCGTCACAGTATTATTGAAATAATGATCCTGACCGAGGGCATTGTAAAGTTCATCCAGATCGAATTCTGACTTGCTAGACCTCAACCACTGCCAAAGGTTTCTTTCGATATACTTCGGAAGCCAGGTTTCGTCGTCGGGAAGTTTTGAAAAGATCTACTCCCCGAACAGTGGCTGCGGTGCGTTAATCGTATGGTTACAAGACAATAAGGATGAGTACTTGCCGTTCAGGAACATGTCAGCAACAACACTGAGTCTTGTCAGAGAAATTATTTTGGTATTAGAGGGAATATGGTACCTACTTACTCGCCCAAGTGCCCTTGCCGGTTCCGACGTCTAGGATGTGCTGTGCGCTAGGTCAGTAAGGCCGCATACAGTATATTCGATAATCAATAGACTTTGTGAGGTGTCGTACCGTTGGGGAGTCACCTACTGGCGAGAGAAACAGCGGATTTGTCGGATCTGACTCCATGGCAAGAGCAACAAGGTGCCTGGAAGGGTGGTTAGTGAGAGTCGCGACCTTGGCTAGACACCCAGACATACCCAGCATCGCAACTTTTGAACTGTTGGTCATCGGAGGGATACTGCGTCAATGATAAGTTGTGTGTCCATATTAACTTCCATAGCTCTCTGACTTACAGGTATTCATCCGACCGAAGAGTTTGGTACCTCTCCGATAAGGTTAGCTTCAAGACTGGCGAGATCCAAGGTAGACTGCACTGCGTCTTACCGCCTGCCATTTTCCATTAACCCCTACTAAATCGAAGATCCGATCGAAAGTGGTTTGCCTAGGCAATGTTGAATGTCAGAAAAATTCGGCAAGGGTCATGGGATCACATGCGACAATCAATCTTCGGGGCCAGCTTTGCTATCGGCGTGGTACAGATCCGGATCCCGATAATGGCAGGTCAGAAGGCGTATAAAGGGACTCGGAGGGGTTTGAGCTTATCCCCGACGCACAATATCGATATTTTGGTGGGCCGTATTTAAAGGCAAGCTCGCAGCCAACAGCGGGGAAGCGTCAAGATGGGCTGGATGGTGCGAACATAACGAGATATAAAGACAGGCACAGATTTCCACGGCTGGTCTGAGGCGCCAAAGTCGCGGCATGGCTCCCCGTCGTCCGCGTTGGATTGTGGCGAGGCAACAGAGTTTATCCGAATCTTCACGTCGTGGTTGGGTAAATATAAACACTGTACGGTAATTATTATGCAAGATGATGATGGCTCGATTGGGTGAATGGCCACATATGGGTCCAAGCGGCTGCGGCATATCCGATCAACCTGCCACCTAGAGTGATTGTTGTAAGCGCTATCGCCAAGACAACCAATACGGAGTAGATTAACCTTACCATACCAATACCACTCCCTATCTCACAACCCTCGGACGGTTGGAGTTGGATGTGAAGAAAAGGATAGCATGGCCTTTCGTAGAGACTCACTTCCTGCAGCTTATGTCTTGGGCTGTTATCTGTCTCTAGATGGGGAGCCTTTGATCGTGGGTCTTGAAACTGCAAAGGTCATTATGCGCGATTCCATCAGGACGAAGGCAAGGTTTTTTTTTTTTTTTTTTTTTTTTGCAAGATAGCCATTCTCGCCTGATCCTGTTAGAGAGGGAGAGAGCTGCCCTTTTAAATAGTCTTGCGTCACATGGAAAGATGTGAAAAAAGGTTGTTCTGAACTGCGAACTTGATAGTATTAATAAACTTCGGGAGTAGGCCCTTCACCACTGGATAGTGGGGAACTCCTGGCTGTCCAGAGACCTGATTGGACACGGTTAGTTGGCAGTTTGGAACTGCGACCCCACGAGCCTCTTTGAGGTTTCGGCTTGGAGATCAAATGCTCGTTGCAAGTTATTAGAAGGACGGTGAGTCATCGAGGTGAGGTTTTTCGTCTTCCCTGAGTACCTCATACATGTTGAGGGTCATTTCTCCTACGAGTGATGCAAACACTCCGTTCCCGCCCCTTTCGATGCAAGCAGAATCTATAGATCGTGCGAAGAGCATGAGCAAGTAAAAGCGAGCGAATAAGATGAATCTATTGGGGAAATTTTTTGCTACTGTTGTCCAACTGAATTTCCTCCAACTCCTCCAACCAGCTATTTCCGTCGCGACGGGTGCAGTCCGCTTCCACCTCAGTCTCCTTTATGCCAGTGCCGCGGTGGTTAATCCATATGCAATAGAATCAAGTTGCATTTCTTCCTTAGGGTAACGTGAAATAAGGGATAATACCGCTTCGTTGAAATCAGTGAAAAACGGCTGGATTGACAATGCTGCACTTTCAAAGACGGGAGGATATGCACCGGAATATGCCCAGTCAATCAACCACACCTGTTCATGCTGATCTAAGATCATGTTTCGAGGACTGATGTCGTGGTGTGTAAGGACAAACTTGGTAAAATGGAATGGCGGAACGTCTTTTGGGGCTTGATGGACGCTCTTGCAGATTTCTAGCTTGTGATTAAACCAAGCTTCCATTTCAGCAGGGTCCATAAATGGCCCGGCGCTATAATCAGTGAAGAACCGACCCCGACATGGTCCTCCACCGATGGGGCCGGGCTTTAAAAGCTCAATGGACTGCATCTCTTGTATCATTTCAGCAACCTGCGCAGCGATTTTCCCTTGGGTGTCACGGGATAGGGTGTTCCAGCACTCATCCAGCGGTTGGCCTGGGATAAAATCCATGACAATATACCCAGATGTGCCAAAATATTGGGTATCATCTTTTACCTGGAATGAGCGATAGACTCGTGGGGCTTGAATAGTGGTTCTGGAAGCAATAAGACGAAGCATTTCCGCTTCACTAGCCATGACACTGCCGCCGCCCTTCATGATCAAAGTCTCTGAAAGCCGCACAACCGTCGTTCCACCTAGCTGATGGAGAATAGGAGCAGTTCTGAGAAGGGTTGCCAGAGCCTCATCAGTGACAGAATTAAGATCCTTTCCATCCAGTGGAAAAGATCCATCAGGCTCACGACTTTGTGGCTTGACGTGGGATGTCAGTAGATGGTATTCAGCAGATTATGAATAAACGTACATCTGCTATTGGGCGCATGAATAGTTCCATTTCAGTAAGGTAGATGAAGATGGGATGACGGTAAATGTCGGATTATTGCAAACATAGAAACCCCTTCAAGCTGGACGGGGTTATAAAGGAAACTCGGAGAGAGGTTTTTCCGGTCCGTGATTTTATCTGTGCATTATTCGTGGCTTGCGGCCTACAGGTGCTTATGACTGACCAGTGGAATTGCCAACCAACTGAGGGGTCTCTGACTTGGCAATGTGCCGCCGAGAACTGACTGTGTTTAGGAACTCCCATCGTCATGGCTCCGGCCAGCCCAGGGCGAATGACGTGATTGATAATAATAGCCGGGTTGACTAAATTAACAGTTAGTTACAGATGCTTGCGCATAGCGGATTACCCAACACCCCGATTCACTCATGAGCACCGGAGACAATATGAAAAATCCAATCGTTAGGTGCTCCTTGACTTTGCAAGCGCTAACATGTCCCCAATAGGCATGTTCAAAGGTATGGAAAATCCCAAAAATGAATCATTAGCCATATTCTCATCGCGTTTCGTTTAAGCGCTTTTTCGGTGCCTACAGTAGCAAAAGTATTGGCTTGTGCCTATCCTGCGTCGATCAGATGCTATGCTCGCCCAATCCATCCGCCTCGCTCTCACACCCAGGCGCTAATTCTGCACAATGGAAAACGTCGTGCATTTCATACTTCTCATTAGCTGAAACTACCCGACTTCACAGCAAGATAATTTCTCGGATAAAATACAAGCTAAAGGTTATTTTTGCGTTTTTATGTAAAGGAGCCCATATGTACATAAGTGGTCAATATGTATTCATGCCTCACAGACAGGTCGAAGAGAATTAATGATTATATATGTGATTCGCTTAGCCGACCTAGGTATGGAAACAATCTGATTATACATCCCTCTCCTTTTTTAAAGAAAGCCGGAACCATCTGGTGATTATCTAGTGGGACCTAGCTAACCGCTGGGCTGAGGAGCGTCAATCCTTGAACGCCTATACGATGGGTAAGGCATTGGGCGTCTCATGAAACGTCTTATACTATTTTTATTTAGACAAATTATAGGTCTCCATTCAGTTCTATGGGTACTTAAAGGGCCCTATTCCTTAACTTCTGGTGCTTCATAATCCATCTGTGTTTTCTCGCCTGGAAGGTCTTATCCGTACAGACCATACAATTTCTCTCAAATCCTGTGAGTTCTGTTTCGATATTTCGTTGTTAGATAAGTCATTCTGACTTGCATTTTTAGTCTGCCTCGTTATCTATGTCTATTTTTCAGCCTGTTCACTATGTGCCGGCCAGTCGCCAGGCTCAAATGTTGGCTATGCCAGTGAAGCGCATCCTCGCCGTTCCACACCGAAAGGCAGCGGGTACCAATCACTGGTGTCTCTATCTTTCTACATCCCCTACGAGCTCGGTTCGGTTTGATTGTCAGCCAAGTCACACTGTTCCGAGCTCGGTCCTTCGAGGAGGCTCCAAGGCCAACCTCATTATCTCTGAATTGCCTTATGAAATTTCTCACGATGCCCAGGCTCAATTTATTCTCGATGTTGCCCCTGGGCTGTCAGTGGGGCAAGTTGTTGGGGAAATTACTCAATGTGGGCGGCATAAATACGAATTCGATGCGAATGGAGTTGGGTGCAGGTGCTGGACTACTGATCAGATTAATCTCTTATATCAGCTTCGATTTGTCGGCAATGAATCCCAGGTTGCAGGGGCAAAAGCAGGAATTCTCAAGCTGTGGCCAGATCAGACACCACTTCCCCTTGACCAGGGGGCTTATTACCAATGAGCCTCATATTTCGAGTGTTCAAGTTGACGGGAAAGGATTTCGCTGTCAAGATTGTGTGATCATAGGCTTTCTCCTTTGTTTGACTATTCGTCTTGGGCGGATAGATTCGTTCGAAGTCATCTTCATCCTTCGTTGTGGATTTCCTACGATCAAGGTGGACATTACGTCCATAGTTCTAGCGGTGTTTACTTGTGGGATGGGGTGTTCCCGTAGTCGAGCACGTGTCTAGGATGGAGACTCACTGCGGGGCAATGCACGGCGTTTGGCAATCCTGAACCGCCAAGCTATGTATCCAATCAGCTTCCTCGGGGTGTTGATTTTATGTCAAAGAAAGAAGTGGGTCTATTCATTACAGTGACATGGGAAAGGTTCATTCGTTTCCCGTCTTCCTTATGTGTTTGTATGTATTCAGCGGGTAACGACTCGATACTGTACTAGTAAGGTCAGTCGAATACTCTGTTACACTGCCCAGGGACACTCAACCTGCCCCTTTTCTGAGTTTCCACACTTTTGATTCCTTTGGTTTAATCAATCAATGGTTTGTCTGATGCCGTTGGCTCTCTCTCGCCACCGCCCGAAGTGTTTGGTACCTCAGCAGCAAGGTCTGCTTCAAGTCCGCCGAACTCTAATGTTGACGTTGCGTCTTACCGTCTGCCATTTTCCTTTAACCCCCTATAAATCGAAGATCCGATCGGAGTTGTCTGCCTCCTAAGCAGTGTTGAATGTCAGAACAGTTCGGCAAGGGCCATGCGGTCAAGTGACATACAATATCCAATCTCCGAGGCCAGATGTGCTATCGGCGTCCTACATATCCGGATCCTGATAATAGCAGGTCAGAAGGCGGATAAAGGGATTCGTAGGGGATTGGGCTTATCCACGACGTACAATATCGGGAATTTGGTAGGCCATGTTCAAAGACACGCAGCCAACAGCGGGGAAGCGTCAAGGAGAGTTGGATGATGGGAACATAAAGAGATAGACAGGCACGGACCTCCTTGGTTGGGTAAATATAAAACCGTAATTGTCATGCAGGATGATGATGGCTCGATTGGGTGACTGACCACATGGGGGTCCAAGTGGATGCAGCAGATTCGATCAGACTGCCACCGTAGAGTGATGGTTGTAAGCGCTATCGCCAGGGTATAACCCAGTACGGAGAAGATTAACCTTACCATAACAATATCACGCCCTCTCTCACCCCAAACGGTTCAAGTAATCAAGTTGGATGTGGAGAAAAGGATAGCATGGCCTTTCGTAGAGGCTCATCTTCCTGCAGTTTGTCTCGAGCTGGGGAAGATGTGATCGTGGGTCTTCAAAACTGCACAGTTCGTGGTGGACCGAAATTGGTTACGCGCGAATGCACCGAGCCAAGCATTTTTCGCAAGATAGCCACCTGTTAGAGAGGGAGAGAGCTGCCCTTTTAAGTAGTCTTGCGTCACATGGAAAGATGTGAAGAGCCGAGGTTTTCAATGAGGTTGTTCTAAACCACGAACTTGAAAGTGTTCTTGAACTTCGGGAGTAGACCCTCGACCAGAGGTTAGTGGGGAACTTGTGGCTCTCCAGAAGGCTGATTGGACACGGTTATCTGGCGGTTTGAAATTGCGACCCCACGAGCCTTTGAGTTGCTTACTAGTTAACTAATTAGAAGGCAGGTGAGTCATCATGCCGGTAAAGACCGCTTCTGAAGTACGAAGAGGAACATTGAATATCCTATTGATATTACCTACATAGACATGCTCACTACCCTTCGGCGTCGGGCGCTTTTATTCATTGTCTTCTTGCCAGCAAGCAAAAGAAATCGTGTTATATATATTATGATTGTATAGGAGGCACGCGGTAGAGAACATCCATCTTTAGCTCTACATGATTAGATGAAGAGGCACTAGAGCACTCCCACCCACCTTGGAAGGCCTGGTCTGGTATTGCTCTAATACCCGGAACTAAAATTCTAGTGGTTAGATGCTCCTGGGAGCCCGGTCGGTAACCACTGAATGAGTGTGACGGTTCATGGATGCTTGGGTTTTACCACTACGCCATCTGGCCAAAAAAGCACAATGTTTGGTCAGCACCAAACACCCGAGCTACTATATATGCTCGATCTCTGACAATGGGTCAGTGGCAATCCAGTCAGCACACTTAGAAGCCTGTCATTTGGTGCTCTGAATTGGGTAATTGGCAATACCCTTCTATAGCTCGAGGGTTGCTCATCACATACGAATGCAAGCGCTTACAGGTTTCACATTTATTATGCCGAATAAGTTATTTTTACCATTCTGAAATTCAGATACTCCCTATTGCAATTTGAAAGACAACAAGATTTGCAGGGATCAGACCAGCCATGGGATCGTCGAGCCGCGCGACCAAGTGCGAGCAAGAGCTTCCCCTTCTAAGCAGCCGCCGCTTTGATGAGAGCTGTTAGAGTCGGACTCAGTGAGTTGCTCGAGGACATAGAGTGATTTTCCACCCGTAACTGGGTACGCTCGCAGCTTGATGTGTCAAATATGAGTAGCTCAAACGGGCAACCCTGTCAGCTTAGGCTGTTTACTTAGCCTTAGCGGAAGCAAGGCAGTGAAATGGGGGTAGAAGGCCGTATTAGGATAAAGAATAGACCTGACAGTTACTTACAGGAAACACTCTCTACCTCACAAGACCATCACGGCATTCACATTTGGTTCACATTGTTTAGCTGCTTATGAAAACGCTCAGTAATTGGCGTGGATTAGGCCGCCTACAGACTGTATTGAAAAAGCCCACAAATCCAGATCGGACACGCAACAGTCTCATAGATAGATACAGCAGAGTACTGAATCCTTCATATCCAATATCATAACTCGACCTTCATTCCCACCACTGTTCCTTTGACTTCCCATCTTGGTGCCTCATGCCAAAGTCCTAATCCCGACTATTGAGATATGGCTGAGTATAAGCCATCTTCAGAGCCATTCCCAAAGCTGATCATGTAAAACTTATCCAGTGGTGGTATATCCTCTGACAAGTTTGCGTTATACGGATTCGAGCACGCCATCTCACATAAAATCTCCTGATGACTCGTACGCTCGAGGGATACTCCTTTGTCTTGAACATGGGCCGTGCGAGGGTCGGTATGGGACATGGTTTGCGACATGGTCGGTAGGCTGAATAAATCGAACGGGACCGTCAGAATATCGCGGTGATCCTAATAAGCATTCAGTTATGGTAAGTGTAAGTCTCAGGGTAGCAAACATACCGCCCTCGGCTCGTTGTGAGGAAGGTTATTACCCTCTTGACGCCTTTGCCACCACACAGAGTGCACTTAAAACCTCCGTCTACCCCTGTTCCACCACAGAGCTCACATTGAGCCATCGTGTACCAGTAGTCTTAAGCCTTGTCAGGAAGATGGGGTCGGAGATCGGAGAGACAAATTGTGGTCCAGGAGTCGGTCGAACGTCTTTAAGAAGATTGGGCATGATCACATGAATTCCTGGCACAGGTTCTTCCTAAGGCAGCAATATGTAACTAGTTAAAAGTCACGCGTTTCGCTGACAAACCCAACGTTGTGTGACGGAGCATCCAGTTTCCCAATAGCGGTATCTGTGGGGGACTCCCTTGTTTCACTTTTCACGTTGAGGGGTGTTAGGACCCATCCTTCCCCTTCGGGTGTAGCGCCTAGTCAGCTCTACTTACTCCGTACTAAGTCCGCCAATACGAACGCGTTGTGCTTCCCGACTCTCATGGGTGGACAAGGATTTGTCGGTGTGGGTAGGCAGAAAGATGTAGTTGGCCTAGTTGTCGCGCCTTAAAAAGGGGAGGGAGGGCATGCATCGCCCATTCCCTGTAAAATATTTTCCTTTTCTTTCCCCACCGCAATATTATCATGGCCCAAAAATTAGTTGAGTGCAACATCTGCCCACAAAGATTTAGTACGAAGCATGAGTACCATTTGCATAATACTCATTTCCAGGTTTGTGTATACAGAGTAGAAACTTGGGCGACGAACTAACGCCAGGCAGTCTCGAGCACAGGAAATTCTTCTCAAATATCAACGTCTGCAGCAAGAACTACTTTCTGAGTTAAGCCAATGTCTGGCACATAAAGATTCCGACCGATGTTGCCAGAATGAAAACAAAACCCGCGGTAATGAGGACGACGATAAAAGCGAAGCGTCCGAGGATTCCGGTAATCCAAGTGTAAATAATGATGGCGGTGCTACAGGAAGCGCTCTGGTGCGAACAAACGGGATTCCATGCCCAGAATGCCACAAGTCATTCAAAGTATGGAAAAGTCTTGTTCGGCATTATCACATTCGTATGCATGGTCTTCTTCCTTTCGTTTGCCACGTCGTCTCACTGTATTACAGATGTCAGATGCTATGAAGTTTGCTGTGACCGTATCTTCAAGCGAGTCAGCTTATACATCAACCACAAATGCGACCTTCCCAAAGCCATCACGCGTCGAGAAGATCTCAAAAGACTGTCCGAGGAAAGACTTGAAGAGTCTCTGGCCATTCCAGAACCTCGTCTATACATTTCTAAGCGACGCAAAACACGCAGATATTTTGCTCACCAACGTAACCCTGGTCCTTGTCCTCACCCAGTCGGGCTGCCTGAGACGTCTCTTGACGTTGAAAGTATGAATAAACCTGCGTCATCTACCGATACGTCTAACCTTGCTTCGTCAGTAGACGCCTCGCACTTGGAATACGGTCTTTCATCAAATGTGTCATTTGATTTCTGCGCCGGCGCATCGCTAAACATGCCCACAGGCCCTACTTTCGCTACACAACCCACTGCTACATTTCCTACCTATGGTTCTGGTGCACGAGCACCTCTTATGTTCAAGGGTACGATAAGCGGGCCCCAGCATGACGGCATGTTTCTTCCATCTGAGCGAGCTGCATTCTTCTCAGAAGGCCTAGAAAGAGAACCTGGCGTTGCTAGCGCTCACGGAGGCCCAGAATGGATTTCTGGACACGGAAGCTTCTCAGGACTCAATTTTGGAACGCAAAATTGACGCCAATTTTCAAAGTGCCCATTTCAGCCACCATCTTCTCAAGTCCTCGATCCTTTGGAAGCACCATCTTTGCCCATCCACGCAGTTCCTCTCTTGTCGCAAAGACGAACATGATCGCAAGTCCCTTTACAATACGAAACGCAAGTCGAGTATCCGTGATAACCCTGTACCATGCATCAGAAACCATATGGAGGGTATAACTAGCAAGATCCCTAGCGTACATGCCACCATTTTCCAACTCAACAGTTTCAGGCCTGCTTTTCGCTAGGTGGGCGAATGGCACTTCCAATAGCCCCGTGGACGAGTCAAATGTATTGAGTTCGAGTGATTGCGAGCCGGCGTAGTATTCTATTTGTGATCCGGCCTCCCATAGTTGGACAGTTAGAGAGGGTAGCTCAACATTTGGACAGTTCATAAAAACGTAGACATGTGTTGGATCACTGCCGAAAACCCTGTATATCCCTAGCCCACACCAGTCGAAGCACTTTTCGAGGACGGAACGAATACGCTGGATAAAGTCAGCAAAATTCCACCAGAGAATGAATCGCCCTTACGGTGTCGTCTAGGACAGTTTGCTTGCAAAAAGTAAGGCCGTCGGCAGTTCTGATAGGAAAACGTTTCTGTCTCATTCCTTTGACTCTTCCGCCTATTATCTCGTCTTGGAAGACGATGAAGCCTTCCGTTCGCAACCGACATACGTCGGTTGGAGCTGGCAAACTGGCAGCCATGTGCAGAACAAGGTCGTTGAAAATGTCTCAACGGGACGTCGGACACGATGGTCGTATTCGGGCAAAGATGGGAGGGGGAACACTTAGTCACGTGATTGAGTGGTGTCTAGCGTCATGCTGTCAGCCCCTCCAAGGTGGGGGCCTAGTTCTTGGAGAACCTCTTGACCCAACACGAACAAAGTTCTTGGTCCACTTTTGGGACAAAGTTTCGTTTGATCCGGGACAAAAATATTAGTCCGATCCGGAACTAAATTTTTAGTTCAATCTGAGCACGAAAATCCGAGTAACTAGGAACAAAAATCCTTGACCTTCCTGGAGCAGTTACCTTTGATCCTGGCTGGGAAAGAGCGGTCGACTCCATAACGTGATGTGATTGGCTTATCGACATCCATAACTTGTGCCAAGATTGCATGCCATATTTCATGGGATTCAACTTGCAAGCGCTATAGCCTCTGTATCTTGCCCAAGGAGGATACGAAAGAAAATCAGTTCCAAAATAGGTGCAGGATTTCCGTCTCATGCATATTTGGAGGCCTAGGCCTGTGGATGCAAACTATTAGAGCGAATCGGACAAATCTCTCCATTCGAGCGCAAATATCACCCAAAGCATGCTTTCGTACCTTTGTTCTAATAATCAGACATCGACGGTGAAGTAGGGAGATGATGAGTTGAAAGCTGCAGGGGCTTGCGGCGAAGTTATAAATGGGCGCAACATCTCTCGTTCTTGGAATTCTTTGATCGTATTGACATCAGTGTTTGACCCTGCTGTTTTCTTTTCTTCTCTATCATACCAACAAATTCCATCGACTGGATCGAACAGCATGGCACCTATTCAGAGCAGCCCAACTCTGCCTTCCTCAGAGCACAACATTGCATTGAAGGAGACTTCTTCCTATGACCAAGGCTTGACGCCACCCGATACCCCAACAAAGGGGACGGCTTCAGCTCAAGCTACTGTGGAGGATCTGAAGCATCTCTTCGGAGTGGTTCTTGAAAAGATGCTACTCGATCTTACCAACCGAGAACCTCCAAATACTCCTGTCTCCCAGGATCAGCCCCCATCAGGCCTTGACATAGTTCAGCTGAAGCAGTTGCTGGTGAAACTTACCCGCGATGAATTGTCTTTAGCTGAACTCTCGGTGGCAATTAAGCCTGCTCAGTCTTGTTCCGCAAGCAATGAACAGGAGAACGTTCCAGGGTTAGATGGATTTGATCGCAAAAATCCCATCTGTACCACCCCGGATGATTTCAAATCGTTCGAAAAGTGGGCCTCGACACCCAAATTCAAGACGGTCGTTGAAACGTATGAGCCACCAACTCCACCAACTCCCCTTCCCATTCTCTTTTAGAGGCTGGCTGACATGGGTATAGTTGGAACAAAGAAGCATGCAAATACAAGATAGCAGAGCCGGTGGAGACCAGCAGTGGCTTGGACGATTATGCTGAATATGCATTCATTGTCCGTGAACGTGTTGGTACGTAATGTCTTTGCGCAGGGGACCGAACCAATACTAATCGCATGACTAGAACGGAATTCCGAGGAGGTGACGCCTTACATAGACATCAAATCGGAAGGCCTACGCGACATCCTGCGTGTGGTGCTGCACGACATCAAAGCTATTAGCCTGATGGAGGACAAGCCATCGGTAATTGACACTGAGCAGAATCTCGAAAAGAACGCTGACGTGGATTTAGATCGAGCAAAACGTCCTTTTCCATTTCCTCCCAGAGCTCGACAGATGTGCAGAGAACATGGACAACGGCTCGGACCATGACACTGCACGTGCGGAGCATCTCAGCCTGCTCATCGACCACCTCAAGCAAGCATATGCTTCTATCTCGGGGCGTCTCGAATCAATGTTGCAGCACGGTCATATTACTTATGACCTTCTTTGGGCGCTTTTCAAGCCTAGGTGCCATGTTTATACCACATGCATTGGCACAAAAGAGCCACGGTGTGTCAGATTCGACGCGGGGGAAGAGATGACACAAAATGACGAGACGTGGTGGAATCTCGAGTGCCGCTTCATCGATTATGACGGAGTCAAGTTCGGCGAGGCCGGAATATTTCTGCGTATCGCAAAGTTCCGGGGGTCAAGACCGATCGAGAGCCTTGAGGCCTTCCCTCTCCGCTACCATCCAAGGCACGAGGAAGTACGGAAAGACTTGGTCGAAAGAGGCCAAAAGTTTCGGGATTTGGCCGGCTCGCACATTCGGCACTGTAACGGCAGTGCGTTCTTTATGAACAAGGGGAAGGCGATCAAAGTCAACGTCAACAGTCGAGTGGCAGTGGACACCGCATTCTTTCATGAAATGCAGCCAAACTACTCCCGACCGTCACTCCGCGACCTAGGGGTCAAGGAAAAGGATGGAATTGCAGTCATTGACATAGGTGCAATGTGCATGGATAACCGTGAGCGGGAGAAGGAGAGAATGCGAGGTGACGGCGTGGATGCACAAAAGCTGAGCGAGGCTGATTTATTGGTCGCCTGCCCAACAGTTTGCTGTTTCAGCTTCAAGGAGAAAATGTTCTGTATGTGACACTACTGACAATGCTTTAGTGTCCGGCTAACGTGATTTCCAGTGGAGTGCGCAGTCAGTGCTCTTCGGGACGTAGATTGGTCACCCGGATCGTTCGACTGCCTGCAGATCCCTTCAGAGACCAAGACAATGCTCTTATCACTGGCGAAAACCCGCCTGGGTCTGATACCGACGGTACCGTTCGACGACGTAATTGGTGGAAAAGGTCAAGGACTCAACATCCTACTAAAGTATGTCGGAAAGTGTCTATACTATATCATGACTTGCAGTCTAACTCATGCTAGTGGCCCACCGGGCGTCGGAAAGACATTCACGGTTGAGGCGACCTCGGAATATTTCAAGCTCCCCCTCTATTCGGTATGAAATCTTCGTCGCGCAGATTGTGGCCTTACTAACTTTGCCAGATATCCGCAGGAGAACTTGTTGTTGACCACGGAGATTCTCATGCGCTTGAAGCACAGCTTGAAGTCATCTTCAAAATCGCGAAGCACTTTAATGCTATACTGCTCTTAGATGAAGCGGACGCGTTCATGGCAAGCCGCACAGCGCTCCATGACAACCACAATCGACTAGTAACCATATTCCTACGAAAGCTGGAATATTATCAAGGAGTTCTCTTCTTGACTTCGAATCGGGGTATCCAATTTGACGATGCAATCCTGAGCCGGATCCCCTTGACCGTCGAGTATGGAAATTTGTCGAGAGAGTTTCGCAGAGATCTCTGGTCAACGTTTCTGTCCAAGGCATGTACGATGCAAGGACCTGCCGTTGTTGAGGAACACGACCTCCGACGATTGGAGTCTTTAGCTCTAAATGGACGAGAGGTGGGTTCCAGAGCGCTGCTGTGCATTTCTCGCTTGCTGGCTAACATGAACTAGATCAAAAACATCGCAGCAATCGCACATGCTCTTGCTGAGGCGGATGGCAACCAAGTGAGCTATAAATTTTTGGAGTTAGCCTCGGAATCGAATAAGAAATTTTCGAAGGAGTTTGGTCGACAGGGGATGGTTGATGGGATGTATCTCTAGCAGTGTACCTGGAAAAATCATTTGGATAATTCGTCGCTCAAGAATGTCAGGCAATCGGGCTCTTCTTGCAAACATGCCTATTTAACTCACGATCTTAATAGAAAGGTCTCGAGGTCTTGTGGCGTAATGTCTTGCAATGTTATCGGATAGACAGCTAGAAGCTTAAGGTCCTGCCATGTCACAAATTTTCCACCTTTTCCAAGTCAGGGTTATATTTCATTGCTCTGACACGAGCACGCCGTGTATTGCCAGACATAGATTCAAGGGCCCTAGGGCGCTTCAACCATTTCACATCCTCCAAGTCAATGACGACCAGACGGCCACTCAGGTCATCCCACAGCATATTACGCCACTCACTGTCGCAGTGGATAACTCCGCGCGACCGGAGCACAGCCAGAGCTTTGTCGCGCTCTTGGTGGAAGAAACTAGAATTCCCATCATTGATGACATGTTGGAGCCGCGTTCCTGACCAGCTCAAGATCATCATCTGGGCCATTAATTCGCCGTGGTACCAATATGCAACGCGAGGCTTAAAGTCCCCAAGACAGACGGGGATGTGTTGTCCCTGCAAGCTCCTGAGATGGTGATAATTGTCCACTTCCGCTTGGAGGCGATGCTGCTTCTCCACAGTCGTGGCTTTAATGATCACAGTGTATCCGCGCGAAAGGAGGGTGGCTTTCATGAGGTATCCTGTCCGACCATAGACATGCAGCTGTTCGAATCCAAGATCTCGATCTCGGGCAAGTTGACGATGAAGCTGGCGTCTGAACTCCTGCGGTCCCATGGAGTGTCTCTGACCACCGTGGAGTTTCCAGTTAGGGCATTTTTTATCCAGAGGTTCTCGGTTGACCACGCCTCGGATGCAGGCAATGGTGCAGTACGGTCTAGTAGAATGCCTGTCTTTTCGAGAAGTCTGTTTGTTGTCCCGGTCGGCTCGTGTCCTTTCGCTTCCCCTAGTTGATTGGCGGTTGTTGCCTCGGCCACGGCTCGATCGGCTGCGCGATGCTGCCGCGGTAGATGGCGAGTGCGATTCTTGATCACTGCCGCTGCCTTCAGTCGACGAGTGCTTCGGTGTAGATGCGCCCGGTTGACAATGAGCGCCAGCACGAGAGCGTGTGTCGTGTATTTTCCGATCTCATTTCCGCTCTCGTTTCCAGTGCGAGGGCCGATAATTAGAGGCCGGCGGGTCTTTATGGAGAGTTTCGGGAATTTCCCTCAACACGTCGAGATATTCGACCTTCCAGGTCGCTAGCTTATCGTGTGCCGCATCGTGCCATTCTTGAGTCGGAGGTTCGACGGCCAGTGCTTGAAAGGTGAACGCAAGCACCTGACCGATGGCTGTCCGGTGGAGGCGCAATTCATCGTCCGCTTGCACATCTTGATTCGGGATACACAAGAAATATTGAACAACGGTAGGATCATCCTTTGGAATATGGAGGAAAACGAAAGCCTCTCCAGTGCAGATGTAGCCGTATCGAACTCCACTGTCGATCATGTACGAGAATATCTGAGTGACCACGGTGGCGATGAGGCGGGTGGCATAAAATTCAAATATGTCACCTTCTTGGTCAATGACATCGCGAGCCAGATCAGTCTGGTGAAGACCCGTTACCAGTTCGGGAATTGTCACTTTGTGTGGCGCTTCGAACTCCACTGCATAAACTGGTATGTGTTGTTCATCAGCCACAAGGTGCACGCAGAACTGGTCGGCGCGCCGATTGCGTCTTCGTGCAGTCCCATTCCTCTTCTGTCTCTGCGCCGCTCCTCTCCCCCTTCCATGCCTAGTGTCCGCCGGCCGCCGGGGTGTACGCACATCGTGAAGATTCATTCGCTCCAAGCTGTTCTCCAACGAAGTTTCCGATGGGTTCGCGCGATCATAGAAGGTGACTCGGCCTTGGATTCGAAACTCCTGTCGAAGGGGTTCGTCGTCTCGCAGAGCCTGAATGACTTTTCCGACAGAGTTATCCACCGTGTCTCGCTCAAAATTCCGAAGAGACGCTTCCGAATAGATCGGCTTGTTCTGGATATTCGTAACGACATAGTCGATTTTGGCATCAGAAGGGAATAGCGGGCGCGAGGTAAAGGCAGCGGTGCGGTCGAGTTTCTCCCAGACTTGTTCCTATAGCTGGGGAAGTCAAGCCAAGGGACGATATGCTTGGGGTAGAGTCGGTTCACTGGGTCGGCCGCGTCGCCCTGCGTCGTGAGGGTCGCATCTGCCTCAACTTGGATCGCTTGAGACAGAGAATCGTGGCAGCGATCGAGGAGGCGAAATAGTGAGTTGGATTGCACTCGCCATTCTGCCGCTTCTCGCGCCTGTCTCTCTTCCTCTTCACGGCGCTCAGCCGCTTCTCGGAGCCTTTGTTGTTCTTCAACCTGACGTCGTAATTCGGCAATTGTTTCCTCCATCCCTTGTTGAAAGAACTATTCGGCAGATAATCGAACGAAACAAACTGAGTCAACAGAGTATTGGGGGACCAGCTGGCGCAGGGAATGGGCTGTCACGGGAAGATGTGCGTCTGGTTGTTTATCAGCTTACTCATCTCTGGACTCACAGTCAGTTGGTGCCTCAGGCATTAACGCACGTTGCACTTTCGGTTGGTTTCAGGCATTGTCTCCAAAACATGCGCCGACTCGATGGTATCTGGATTTGCCACGTCAGTACAAGATAAATTCGGTCCTCCTTCCGATCCTCAAAGTACAGTCACCGTAGCGAGACGACTATTTCAATTTGTATCACTCGCGTGGCCCACTTCCTCCAATAAAAGCCATTTGATTCGAAGCATAACTGCGTTGTATGATCTCGCTGTGAGGAATGCACAGCAAAGCTAGTAGTCAGCAAAAGCTCTTTCCAAATAACTAGCTAGAGAGAATAGGCTTACCTCTCCCGTTGTCCGTCTGTTTTGCGTAACACCCTATTGTATGCTCTAGTTTTGGGGTTAGACATCATCCGACGGAATTGACAAGGAAAGACATACCTGCCCTAACCCTTGTCAGGAACAGGCTTGCTCGCTTAATGCTGATGGTCCTGGTTGAGCTGTCAGTCCAGAATACACATCGGTCTCTTCGGGGAGGATTGGCTCTTAAATATTGCGTAAGATGCCTAGTGGAGGCGAGGTCTTGCAATTCAGAACCGCGAACTCCAAACTGCGAAATCCAAACCGCCGTAACTCTTAAGGCTAACTGACGATCCAGTACGTAAATGGGAAATTGTAACCAAACTGCTATTCAGAACCGCGAACTGCGAACTGCGAAGCCCTTGAGATGCAAGCAATCGTTGCCATACCGCAAATCCAGCCAAGCACAGCCTGAGTGTGGAGCGACGCTGGTGTCCCAGGTTGCCTGCAGCTCTAAGTGAGCCTCTGTTTTGTATAGAGACTCATTGGCCTAGTGGTCTACCAATGTAGCCAAAGGGTCGGCGGAGGACATCGTTATGGCATTCAGGTAGAAGCTGACATGTATATTACACGAAACATATATACACTACTACCGTCTGCCCCTACATGCCCCATCGACCTCCCATACACATCGATCCACCTCTTATGCCGTGACATCCGTCCATCTAGAGCACCATCATCTCGAGAATTGCTAGAATCATCTGCACAATAGGGCACTGATACTACGCTCTCTCAAAACTATACTTTGTTAGTGATATGATACAAAGCCAGATGACTACCCCGCTTCTGAGAACTGATATTATAGCACGTGTCCGCGGGCTGGGATATATCTTGGCGTTGGGTGCTCACTACACCTGACACTGATCAGGCGTGTTTTGGTTCATAACCTGGGCCCGTTACGCTTGCAGGGGCATGCCATATGACCAATGATGAATGAACACATTTGAAGTCAAACTGTTGGGCTAGGAATTCCTACATGGTGAATTATGGCACCTCACATGTACTGTTTTGTCCACTTGTGACCAACTGAGGGTTGTCGATAGAAATTCAAATTTTTCTTTCTTAACTATTCACAGTCTGTGACATTTCATCTTCAAACATGGATCTGGAAACCACAATTGAAATTAGGGGCGGAGTTGGCGCGCAAGGTATGTGGGTCTTCACAAACCAAATCTGCGTTTGATTTCCTTGAAGATTCAAAGCTTACACCAACCCCCCTAGCATCTGAGATTTTGCAATGGATTCAGTTGGTTGAGAGTGGGTGGAATCTAGCATCTCCAGATTTCAGCTTAACGAACTATCGTTGTACTAACTCATTGTCTAGAGAACTTCGCTTCATTGAAGAAGACTCCTTGTCGAGTCCGTATTGAACAACTTGCCTACGGATTATACGTGAAGGGAAAGTGGACAGACCATCCATATTGGTTGATCCATGTATTTCAAGTGGAGGAAACATTCGATATGAGGGTACATTCCTATGAGGGTCCACAAGGCGAAACGCTGAACGATGTGCTTCAGAGGGTGTTTCTACAAAGTTGTCAGGAACATGCCCCTTAGACCTCAAGGAATGGCTCTTTCGTATTCCAATCTTCGCCAGTGTCTATATTTGGCAATCAGATTGTGATAAATCTGGGATTTCGTACTCTCGCAAATGGCTTTTACTCTTTGGCCTTCTGAAGAGCTGTGTCTAAAAATTATCTTTTATACATACCAGCTGTGACTATGAAGAAATAAAACTGGCAGTAGTGAGCGGAAACCACCAGCGAGCACTGGCAGGCTACGAGAAGGCCCTCGGTCCTGACCATACATCCACTCTCGCTACTGTCAACAACCTTGGAATTCCCTACACTGATCTGGGGAAGCAGAAGGAGGCAGAGGAGATGTACCAGCGAGCACTGGCAGGTTACGGGAGGGTCCTCGGTCCGGATCACAGTAGGACCCGGACACTTGTAGACAGGTCAAATGCCTTGAGCGCTGCAGATGTGAAGTAGTGTCTTGCTTATCTGATAGAGTTCATAGTCTTTAGATACCATTCTAGAGAATCCCCTCTTCTCAGATAGCCCTACCTTCTGAGAAATCCGCCGCGTATCCTTGTAAACCCGCGCCCGAACACCAATCGACATGTACACACCTGGCAACCACATTGAAATTTTAGTAGTCGTATTCAGTCCTACTAATGTCTTCAGTCCTGCCAGAGCCCTTAGTCCCGCTGGAGTACTAACAGTCTGCCGGGGTGCTTAGTCCTACCAGGGTGTTTCCCAGACTAGTCATAGTCCCTGGGATCCCATAACAACACCTCAGGAACACCTTCATGAACTCCGGGAGCTCTACCCATCCCAGGAACTATCTAAAGGGTCGTGGTATATATATCGTCGCCACCCTACATGGAGATAGTGTTATGAATGCGCAGAATGTAAATTGATATCTGATATCCGGGTACATGTAACTACTCCACGTAAAACCTTTTCGATCTCTGGTGATCTTTAAGCACGGCGTAAGATACAAGACTCAAATAACGAACTTTTGAACTCCCACTATGCATTTCACAATATGGGATCCATCGATAATTCTCCGATAGGACCCAGTTTGGGGAGCTTTTCCCTTCGACGTCCGCCCCCATATTTTATGGATAATTCTTCCATCGTAATTTTTATCGGCTTAGGATATGTGCTGCTCTGTAACCTGTCAGGAAAAACAAAACAGGGGCGATGTAGAGCGACCATAAATATTGATCGCGTCAAAACATACCAAACTTTCTGTCGAAGGGGGGCAGTTTGGTGACTGTGACGCGAGCGTATATATCAATCCACTTTTCCTCATGCGCAGAACCAGGTAAACATCTGCTTCACACTCTTGAGAGTACTCGAAAGTTTTCTTAAACAGGCTGTGTCTTCCCCTTAAGATTTTCTGACTCCCCCTCCTGGATTGTGATGTTTTTAAAAGAATACCTACCCGATCTAAAGAACAGCGTGTCGCACATGCTTGAGTGTCCATATTGAGCTGAGTGAAATGGATTAGGCACACTTTCGAGCTGAAGGCCTTTGGTCTGGCTTTATGGGAGCCTTGACTGATCTAAAAATAGGTTGTGGGTCTCGTGGAACTGAGATCGACCAAATCGTCTCCACACTGACGTAGAGCCTTTCCTCCTTGCCCTGTAGACCTTCGTTTACGATCAGAGACTCCGGTGTCAGAGTGGGCGGGCAAATGGTGCTGAAGCGTCTAGAGAAATTATTTTATCTTCCTCAAATCTTTGTATGAAGTTGACAAAGAGCTTGTTGTGGTAGTGGAGGTGCGTGGAAAAAGCTTATTGGATGTCCAACTTCGCGGTTCAGAACCGCCTACTCTGCGACCACCAGGCTCACGGGGTCTTTGCTTGGAGACTAGAACCTTCGACCCAGCATTGCCCCTCAATTCCGTCTGGTCGCGCCATGCCCCACTCTGGCTTTAAATTGGTCGCTCCCCCCAGTCCCCTCTTCTGTCTCTTTTGTCCCCGGCCTTCACTCCCAGTTTGGCTTTCCCTGCTCAGGTGCTGCGCACCTGTGCGTCCCATGCTTTTTGTACATTTGCCTCCCCTCCCCACACTCGTTTTTCCTTGCCCTGGTCTGCACTAACACGGGAATTACAACATGTCCCAAGAGGAAGGCTTAATGCAGCAATGGGGGTTTGGACTATCTGAGCCAAATTGTTCGATATTGACAGATCCCAAGGACTCATCTTCAAATGAGAATTTATCGGGCTATTAGCAATTTGCAAGGTCTGAAGAAGTAAGTATCAGAGCTTGGATATTATCAATAGGCTGCTGATGATTGTCAGTTCCCTGGTTTGGTTCGATATAACCTCTTAGCCCTTCAATCCCTTCCAGAGGCTGAGAGGCAGGATGTGGCCGCCAAAGTGGGTATTACATCGTTGATGGCAACCATACATTGTCTCGACACGCCCGGAAATCAAGTCTTAATGGACTCGCAGGTTGGAGAATATGACGGTGCATAGCTTGTTCCATTTCAACTTCTGCTTTGATTTGCTACGCAATTTATTCGACACCGCGTGTACTGATTTTATATCTGTAGGTCCTACGACGGAAGCCACTGGCTGGGGTGAGTTCAGTGAGTTCACCCACGATCTCGGTATCTCGCCCATACCTTCGAACTCGGAGATTAGTCCGCCAAAACCACAGCCTTTGAAAACAACCTCCTATCCAGCCCACCAGTCTGTTCCCAGTCCGGACGCGGGAACCAATACCTTAGGCTCTGATTTCTCGACTCCGGCGGATCTCGATCCTTTCCAGTTGCTAGATGTGCCAAGACCCGCACATTTGTACCCGACCCAGTCCACATTCGATTCACGCCGCGACCGGCAACTGGCCTAGAGGGTTCTACGCTACATAATACGCCCGAAAATACGAATGGCGTTGGCATGGGTCCACCACTGGCAGAGCCAGCGGCGCTCATCTCCCAAGCTCCTGAGCAATGTTTAAGTCCACATAAGGTGGATGACCCTGCTGAGGGAAATCAATTCGCTAGTCAGTCTCTTTCCCTTGAAGCTTTGCAACATGCCCAGGTCCCTGAAGTTGCGCCCCTAGACCATGCTCAAAACATGATACTATTGTTTCCGGATTTAAGTACAAACAAACTTCGACAAGCTATGGAACTAGGTGACCGTCTTTTCCCCCAAGACTTGGCCCACTTGGAATCACAAGTCAATCACTGGCAAGCTGAACGATTGTGGAGTATTGTGGGTGTTTCACCAGGGTCGTCTGCAAGACAAAGGATTGCTGCAACCTGTAGACACATCAAAGACATGGGCAATCCAAACGCGGAAAACTACATGAGGATCCGACTCGCAAATGTCCAAGTCAACATGCTCTATGAGACCATCTGCAAAGAGGAAAAGAATCGGCGTCTCGGTCTCGGAACGAGAAAGTTCACAACCCATGTTCTTAACTGCATCGAGGCAGCTATTAGCAATCCTGGTGACCGACGCCTTCCTGTTCCCAAAAAGTCACGTGTTCGCGACGCTATCTTTCGATATAAGCAGGTTGGTAAAAAATGGTCGGTGTCACAAGGTCTAAGTATGACGTTGCTTGTTGGCCAAGACTGTGGAAGGACAATGTAAGCGCTACCATAAAGGTCGAAAATCTCCTGGCTAATATCATGCAGAGAAAATGGCCAATTCACTGACATGCAGATGAAGGCTTTGATGTTCCATGTTTCGGCAACTCGACCTGATATTATCAGTCTCTGCAGCAAATTAGAACATGCCGTCAGCTATTTTCTGGCACATAATCAGTTGCCAGCGCATCCCACGTTGGACGACGTTCGAAAAATGATAGGGATTCACAATTCAATGACAGCGATCGTAGATTAACGGGGATGGACAGGTTAAATATTGCGCCGTTTTCTTCAGATAAATATCCAAGTCCAATTTGGTCTGCGCTATTTATGCGTTTGACTTTGCTTGGTCGAACTCTTTTCAGTTATCAGCAAATAGAACATGAATCAATAAGTCTCGCCTTACCGCGCTTGTGCAGTAGATCGTGTCACTCACTGCGCAGTATCCCAGGAAGGATGAGGAGCTCCGGACAAATCGGCCGTTCAAGGACGAGGAGTTTTTATGCTAAGAGGCTAATAAAAATTGCTGTGAAGAACCAGGTAGTCTTCACGGAAAGAATTTTTTTCTGGGAATATGCCTCAACTTTGTATGCACCACCAAGAGTGGAGTTGAAACTATTGTGTATACCGACGAGAAGCAAACGGGAAAGGAGCTTTGATACGGTACGGAACCACCGATCGAATTTGGCAGTTTGGGCTGGATACTGTGCGCCCATTGGTCGGACACTTTGTTGGCGGTTCAGAATCGCCTGAGCCGCGATTCCTGCTCGTACCAAACCATACGATCTCCTTCTAGGAGTTTCCATCGTCCGAGAAGGGCGGTAACTTCCCCAAGGACGGAAGCAGTGTTTCTGGTATTTTACAATTAGCTGTATCGAAACACCAGAGAAGAGAAACAGGAATGTGAACTCGGACTCTAACCCAAAGGACGTACACGTGGTATCAGCTACCGACAGGGTGCAACCAGCTAGCTAATATTCCTACCGACTTTACACTGTGCGTCCATCGATGGACCGCCCCTCTCGCGGTTTAAAACAGCGACTTCGAAGAAAGCTATTTCGAACAGCCACCTGGCGAAGCTACATTTTCATGCCACCAAAACACTAAAAGGAACAGGATATTCTTCGCCATCATGCTTTCAAATGAGATTCACAAAATGAACTCCATTCCGAAACAGCACTCTAGAGCGAGTCTTAGGGCCGGGAAGGATCGTGAGAAGTGGGTTGATGTAAGCGCCCGGATATCCATGTTCAAGGCTCAACTTTAGTGCAAGAGATGCGTCTTACTGACAAGGTAATATATACTGAGGTTTAGAACAAACTACTCTGGATCCAGTGCATCCTAAGATGGGCTACATTTTTCCATCCTTTCAAAACATCCCACGCAGCTGCGTTACTCCGGATAGCGCGCATCCTGAGATGGGCCACAGGTTCCTGTCTGTGTGCTCCTGATCCCAAGACTGACAACGAGTTCCCTCCTTCCGTAGGGCCAAGCTCATCGTAGGACAGTCCACGATTTCCCCTCTCTCCAAGCCATCGCAGCTCGGGCCGTTTCTCGCGATCGAACTCATCGTAGGACGGGCCACGACTTCCCCCTCCCAAGACACGCAGCTTCGCTACTCCGGATAGCGCACATCCTAGGATGGGCCATGGAAACCATACGCTAGTCGTACACGAATCTGGCGCCTCGCTATTCGGTAGCACAGGACCTAAGCGATTTCCAAAAGATTAGTTGGGAGGAGACAAAGCTGCTAAGAAAGGAGGTCGGTCACGCCTACCGAAAATTTACACAATGCAGTTAAAGTGGAATTTCCGGTAAGCTGATAATGAGCGTCTCAATGAAGTGGCCGCCCCGCTTTATCTTCCTGGGTATCGACAACTTCT